TTAGGGTAGGGTTTTGTTTTTATTTTTACATTTTTTATGAAAGGATGAGAATAATGAACATAAACAAAGCCAGTGATGCAGCCAGACTGGGATTTGTGGAAATGTTGCATTTTTTCTGGGTCTAGGGTGGGAATGTTTAGCAGGTAACCCCTGATTTCATTATTCTATTACATTTATTTTTATAGCAGAGCTCCAGACAGATAACTCAGTTTCTTCTATTATGGCTTCTTAAAATAAATTTGAATCTCTCTTGAAATCTACCTACTGTAATATTCTGCACAGCAAGTCTCAGAGTAGGAGGAAAAGAAGCATCATGCTACTGCATTGCGCTGTGCTTTCAATCATAAACAATGGAAGCTCATTGAGAAGAGAACTTGAGGAGTGATGATTTCTTCACAGTGCTGCTATATACCTTCATTATCTAGTTACAGGCTAGCTAGGGTTCTAGGCCAGTCCTCACGTGCAGTGTAATCTGCAAAAACATCATAGGGAGATCAGGAGTTGACTATGCAGTCTGGCAGAGATGTTTGAAACAAAGGACTAGCTGAAGGGAATTGTCAGTCCTATTTATTTATTTATTTCTGGTACTTCTATAGCGCTGTCAATTAACGCAGTGCTTTACATATATATATTGTACATTCACATCAGCCCCTAACCCTCAAGGATCATACAATCTAAGGTCCCTAACTCACATTCATACATACACATACTAATTTAGGGCCAATTTATACAGGAGTCAATTAACCTACCAGCATGTCTTTGGAGTGTAGGAGGAAACCGGAGTACCTGGAGAAAACCCACGCAGCCACAGGGAGAATATGCAAACTCCAAGCACGTGGTGCTATGGTTGGGATTCGAACCAACAACCCTAGTACTGCCAGAAGTGCTAACCACTTAGCCACTGTGCTGCCCAGTCTTTTGGCAACTAAGATAAAAGACATACATATAGTTCAACTAAGTATTTGCAGTAGTTGATTACCTGAAGTTCAACTTTAAGCATAAAGACTGGTACACACTATAATTTTTTTTTTCTGTTCAACCCAGTGGGCTGGAGGAAAAAAACTGATAGATTGCTGTAGTAATACAAATGATGCTGATGCAGCAATCTCCCTGCTGTGCTATTATGTCCTGACCGGGGAGCTGTCTGCCCCCCAGCCCCCACCAGAACACACTGATCAACGCTCGCAGCCATTGGCTGTGAACGCTGATCAGATGCCGGTCTGATGCTGGTTTTCCAGCATGTTCGTCGGCTTCTGTCAGACAGGCAGCTGTACACACAGGCTGAAAGTCAGCTAGTTTCTACCGTATTGGCTGATTTCAGCAGATATTGGCCCTTGTGTACCCCGCCTGTGGAAAGGTAACAAAAGTATATATTAATTTACAGGTACAGTACTTGCATTTTTTTTTATCAAAGTTGGTCTATACCACTTTGTTTTGGTGAGTATGGGCAGTACCATAAAAAAAAAGATTTTAGGATTAAAGTGAACCTGTACTTAGCCCAGCTGGACAAAGCTTTACTATAGTAAGTTCACTTTACTGTAAGTACCATGTCAAGCACGTACATACCTCTTCTATACAGTTGTGTTCAAAATAATAGCAGTGTGTTGAAAAAAGTGAATAAAGCTCAAAATCCTTCTAATAGCTTTTATTTCCATACACACAAATGCATTGGGAACACTACACATTCTATTCCAAATCAAAACATGAAGAAAAATATATCAAATTTGTGTTGTTCCTCTAAAAAAAATTGAAGAAAAGTGAATATTGGACTGTTCAAAAAAATAGCAGGGTTTGTATTCTTCTTTACAAACTCAAACATTCACTATATAAACTGAAAAATGTTTGAAGATTTTGCTTTCCTTTGAATCAATTAATATTTAGTTGTTTAAGCACTGTTTCTGAGAACTGCTGTACATCTGTGTTGCATGGAGTCAACCAACTTCTGGCACCTGTGAACAGGTATTCCAGCCCAGGATGATTGGACTACATTCCACAGTTCTTCTCTATTTCTTGGTTTTGCCTCAGAAACTGCATTTTTGATGTCACCCCATAGTTTTCTATTGGATTAAGATCCGGGGATTGGGCTGGCCACTCCATAACGTCAATCTTGTTGGTCTGGAACCAAGATGTTGCACCTTTTACTGGTGTGTGTTTGGGTCGTTGTCTTGTTGGAACACTCATTTCAAGGGCATTTCCTCTTCAGCATAAGGCAGCATGACCTCTTCAAGTATTCTGATGTATTCAAACTGATCCATGATCCCTGGTATGCGATAAATAGGCCCAACACCGTAGTATGAGAAACATCCCCATATCATGATGCTTGCGCAACCCATGCTTCACTGTCTTCACAGTGCACTGTGGCTTGAATTCAGTGTTTGGCGGTCGTCTGACAAACTGTCTCCGGACACTAGACTCAAAAAGAACAATCTTACTTTCATCAGTCCACAAAATGTTGCGCCATTTCTCTTTAGGCCAGTCAATGTGCTCTTTGGCAAATTGTAACCTCTTCAGTACATGTCTTTTTTTCAATAGTGGGACTTTGCGGAGGTTTCTTGCAGATAGCTTGGCTTCACATAGGCGTCTTCTAATTGTAACAGTACTCACAGGGTAATTTTTACACCTTCTTTGATCTTCCTGGAGCTGATTGTTGGCTGAGTCCTTGCCATTTTGGCTACGCTTCTATCCATTCGAATGGTAGTTTTTTTTTTCGCTTTCTTCCACGTCTTTCAGGTTTTGGTTGCCATTTTAAAGCATTTGCGATCATTTTAGCTGAGCAGCCTATCATTTTCTGCACTTCTTTATATGTTTTCCCCTCTCCAATAAACTTCTTAATCAAGGTACCCTGTTCTTCTGAGCAATGTCTATAACGACCCATTTTCCTCAGAATTGCAGAGAGAAATGCACTGTAACCAGCATGTACAACATTTGCTGCCTTCCTTCCTTAAATAAGGGCAATAATTGCCA